CATCTCACCGCGGCTCCCAGCCCCCAGCCCTGGCACGGGGCACTGAGGAAGGCAAACCACCCCTCCCACTCTCCCGCCGCAGCTCCATCCTTAGCACCCTCCCACCGTCCCTGGCCAGCCGTCGCAGCTCACTGGGGGCTGCTGCAGGGGGCAGGCACCCCTCCATCGGCCCCTGGATGCTCCACAGCCGAGTGAGCTTCTCTGGGCTCCCCCTCTTTCAGCCCATCCTCAAGACCCGCCTTGAAAACACTTACAGGATGCAGCCAGATGATGGCTGCAAGTTCAATGGGGGGCAGGTGCAGCGGGTGCTGGAGGGGGCCCTGGCCAGCGCCCTGGGGACTGTAGTCTACAGCCCCCAGGGCAGCGCCCCACTAGCCCAGAGCCTGGCCGAGCTGCTGCGGAGCCGGGCAAAGGAGGTGGTGCCACCCCGCTACAAGCTGGTCTGCCATGTGCTGCTGGGCCAGCATGGTCAGCAGAGCCTGCTGGTGGCCAGCCGGGCACTGTGGGACCCCAAAAGTGACAGCTTTGCCTCCACCACCTTCTCCAATGCCTCCCTGTTTGCTGTGGCCACAGTGCATGGGGTTTACTTTGAGTAGCATCTGCTTCTCCCTCCACCCAGGCTTTTGAGGCTGCAGGGAGAGAGCCATTAAATAAAGCGGTTTGGTCTAGCTGTGGCTCATACCTGGTGGCTTTGGCCATGCTGCATGCAAGGATGCACCTCAGCACCTTGATGCTCACTGCAGCCCCCAGCCTGGGCTCACACCCACACCACAGCTTCTACTACTATAGTTTGCAAAAAGACCCAAGCTGCAGCAAATACAACCCAAAAGGCTGTGTGACCCTGGAGCAGGCAGCTGCCCAAGGCCCTGCTACAGGGAGCAGCCCAGGCTGCTTCCCACAGGACAAGCTTCTCCCAGGGGGATTGATTACATCAGCACTGAGGAAGGAGATGACAGATCACCTTCAAAGCAAGCTCATGGAGCAGATTAAGACCCTCCACTTTCCTGGCTTCATTCCCAGCTCATATCCCATCACAGCAGGTGCCATGGCACAAGGACCCAGGCAACCCACGCCTGGGCCACAGCTCAGTAGAAGCATTAGAGCAGCTGGGCTTGGTCCAAGCACACAGACAGTTGGGAATGAGAGTTTAGCAGCAGCAAGAAGCTGAGGCAGCTCCAGGTCTCCACAGGCATCAGCAAGAGCTAAAACACTGCCGTTCCTGCCAGCCTTGACAAGGGCAGTGGAGTTACCACATGGGCTCCTCACCTCCATCCTGCCTCCCTGACCTCATCTCCCAGAAACAGCCACTGTCCAGAGGGGTCTGGCCTGGCAAGCAGGAGCAGCCCTGGAGCAAGGATGAAGCTGAAGCCCTGTTGTGACCAACACCCCAGAGCTCCAGGGAAGGCAGACACAGTTTGCCTTTACACAAAAATGTTTATTGAGGTGAGTCAGGGACAGGG